CGGCTTTGCTGCGTTTTGAAAAACAAAGGAAATCTTGTCCAATATTAGATATTATTAACAAAGTTGATTTATGAAAGAGAAATAAACGAAGAATTACCTTATTATGAAGCCGTAACGAAAACTCATAAAAGGTAATATCACCGTCTAGAATCATCGCCTTTTGACAATGAACATCAGTTGCACAAACACAACTGTTAGACACGGAAATATCCTGTCCAAATGAAATATATATTTAAAAGAGTATTGGTTTAAGTAAATTTCGAGGTGATTTGATGTTTCTTATCTCTACCTGAGCTGTTTGTTTGCTCGAATTTCTATCTGCACGTGAAGTATCATTGATGACAGATTGGGTTCCATCTGATATCGTCAGAAGTTGATATCAACTTGAAGAAAAATCAGTATTGTATTAATGAAAAGCTACGACTAATCATTAGTCTGTTTAAGGCGCAAAACTTGATTCATACTGACACTCGCATCCTCTATTATACGTATTTATGTGAGGGTTCAGTTTGCACCCACGTGTCGCTTTTTATGTCAACAAGACTGAGTAGAGTGAACGAGGAGTATTCCATCTTCGAATCGTGTCTCATATAAAACAGAACATTATCTTTTGCAGAGAACACAAGAGAGAAAAAGAACGTTTGCGTACTAAGCACATTAGACAAGTAAGATTTCTCTTGCAAACAATAAGTTCGAATGAAAAAATTGTTTTCATCGACGTGCATATTAGTACAACATTGTGTATTTACGTCGATAAAAGAAAGAGAGTTTAGATAAAAATACATGAATACTACATTTTGTGCGTCATTAGATAAAATAGTGAAAAGATGACAAAGAATAACAAAAGATAAAAGTATTCATTTCAACGACGATAGTTCGAATGGAAGAAAATCTTCATACAAATGAAAATGAAAGACGTGAAATTAGTGCTGAAAATCTTTCCAACATTACATTGAAACCAGAAAATAATTTAAATGACTATTGTTTCATATTGCTTGATGTTCAATTGAAAAACCAGGATTGTCAACTGTTACTTGAAGATCTTCGAAAAATAACCAATGAAAATATCTTGGCTTTTGATAATATCGATTCTATTCATCAATCTTCTCAAATGAATTCAAACGCTAAAATCTTCTTAATTCTATCTGGTTCACTTGGACAAATATGCAAAACTCAACTGATCGAAATTGTTAATATTCAATTTCTTTATATCTTTTGTCGTGATTCGATTAAACACACTGAATGGTCACGTGATCTTCCAAAGATTCGAGGTGTTTTCAATGATAAACATCAATTATTTATTACGATATCTCGTGATGTCAAAGAATTTGCTAGGCGATGGAAATTCGATAATGAAAGTTCTTTTTTAAAAGCATCTTCATATGATACTCGATGGTATCATTTATTTATTAACACTTTATTATATTTACCTTGTACAGAAAATGATCGGAAAGCAATGTTCAATGAATGTCGATCGTATTATCAGAAAAATGCCGGAATGTTAAACAAAATTGATAGATTAGAAAGAGAATACACTCCAGAGCGAGCAATTTACTATTATACTGATGATAATTTTCTTTATCGAATTCTAAATTCGGCTTTACGAACTCACAATATGGATATCATTTCTAAATTTTATCCATTTATTCAAGATTTAAACCAACAATTATACGAACGTTATAGAAAATATTGTTTCTATTTAAAATGTGAGAACATCAACTTGTCACCTGTTCGAATAGTTTATCGAGGTCAATATCTCAGTCCTTTGGAATTGGAACAATTACGAGATCTTTGTCGATCACGACGCTCACATGTTTTACTTAGTATGTTTGGTTCAGCTACACTTGATCCTGACATTGCCATGAATTTCATCCCAAGTGACCATTCGCAAAATATTTCGTGCTTTTTCCAAATTCTTATTCCGGATTATTATTATAATTGCAATAAAATTTCGACATTGGCCTATCCTTTTCAAATGCTTTTAGATGTTTCCAATCTTTCTGCAATGCCTGAAGAACAAGAAGTTCTTTTCTCGGTAATGAGTCGATTTCGTGTTGATTATGTTGGTGATTCAGCTGCAGAACGTCCGTGGATTCCTATTATTTTAGAATTTTGTTGTGATGATCAAGAGTTTGATCCTCATTGGCATCAAATTAGAGGTATCGTTAGTCGTGAAAGCGATGAAATGAAACAGGAATTATTCGAACTGGTCAAGAAATATCAAAACAAAACAATCAATTGGGATGTTTGGTGGCAACAACTAGCTGATCAATGTGGAGCACGAAGAAGAGATTGTGAACCTTTGTTGTCACTCTCTATGAATGTTTTGCTGATTCTCAATCATTAATGAAAGCAATTGAATTACGTAAAAACGATTTCGAAAAGAATTCCGAATGGAAGAAACTTTCTGATCATGAACGAGCTGATCTGGTTTTCAATGAAATAAAATATGGTAAACCCACACGAGTTATTGCTTTATATGAATTCTTTTTTCAAAATATGAATTTGTCTCAATTGAATACTGACAAACTCATTGAAGTATTCAGATGTGCTGGTGATGCTTATGCAAAATGTGGATGTTTTCAGAAAAATGCTTCGGAATCTTATGAAAAAGCTTTGGAATTTGCTGAAAATCATTCTTATGACAAAATCATTTCGGAATTACGAAATCAAATTCAAAAATTATCATTCGATCAGCAACCTATTCGTTCTAAAAGACGAAAGCAAATCCCTCGAAATGAAACAAAGAATTCTCCGTCAGATCAAAACTCATCAATACAAACATCACAATATGAAACCGAACATTTGCAATGGTTTATTTTCTGGCAATGGTACAAAATTCTACCTAATATAGACGAAAACAAAAAATGCAAAGTTCGTTTGGAATATCTTAGGTATTTTCTTAAAAGAAAAGAAGAATGGTTGGACAGTAGTGATTTAAGAATCTTTTTCAATTTACCTTTTCAAAGAAATCAGAATATTGAGTTGCCAGAAAACATTTATCCATTCTTTTATTCATCCATACGTTCATATTTCCATGGAAATACAATACTTTTCAAAAATCGTCTCTTGAATAAATGGTTTTATGAAAAATTTATCAATGATTGGTTGACTTTAAATGATCTCAAAAGAATAATAACAGTGAATTCTTTTAAGGAACATGATATTGTCACTTCTATATTAATTCTACTCGAACGAATTCTTCAAAAATTATCTTTAATTATTACAGTGCTTACTTTCATAATCATAGTTTCATCTACAAATGATACATATCATTTAAACATTGATGTAAATCAAATTAGATTCCAAACTGATGCATGTATTCATCCGAAAAGACTTGTTTTCTTTGACATTAAAGACTGAATTGGTACAAATAGTGTTAATAGAACTTGTTCATAAGGAAAATACAACACCAAGTAGATATCTATTAACTCGGATACATCTTGATCTGATATTCAGAACTGAGAGAAGATAAAAACCGTCTCTGACTTGAACACTAGTTTAAGCGGAATGGATTCTTATTCACTTAGCTTACTATATCATCGGCGCAAGCATCAAACAATTAGTTCACTTCGGAAAAGTAGACTTTCATAAATTCATTTCACATAAAAAAAATTTATGCACAAAACTCCTAATGTCAATCAAAGACCTGCAGAAAAGTGTCTATGCATTCGTATGCGTAGTTCTAGTTAGCATGAACGAAGTGATAGTTGAACAAACGGCTCAGACAAATAGGAGAAGACTGAACGAACCGACAAATTGTAAGAAAAGAGGAATATACTTAGGGCATACCAAAAGTCTTTACAGAGCTATATCAATTTCGTGTAGAATGTATCGAATAGTTTTCTTTTTATATAGATCGACAATCAAAACAAAGCTTTACATTTCGATACGATTTGATAATTGTCCATCTAATGTCATAATAGCTAGAAGAGTGAGGGTGTGGATAGAAGACGAAGATCATTGCTACCCTCGCCCTTGTTGACCTATGCTAAGAGAGAGGTGAGAGCGAGGGCATCGGTGTGAGTGAAAATTGCTATGATTGGAACCGATAGAGCTCATCAAGTTGTACTTGCAATCAGTATTAGTCCGGTTGGAACATACACTGAAATGAATCGGCTCAAGAAATGTCGAATTCTGCTGAAAGATATCCTACGGTTTCTTATGTACTGCTAAATATGTTCCACAAACTGGTCACTTTTATTAATTCTGGGAAAGCTGAAGTGCAAATTTAGCTGAACAAGTTGTGTATGAGAATATGATCCTGTCGATATTTCACTTATGTCGTACTTTGATTATCAGCAATATTACATAGCAAGATATGTATATCTGTTTGGAATGGAGAAGAACTAAAATGGATACGAAGACAATTCATCACGGATATTTAGTTGCACATTTCACAGTGAAAGGAATAGTTTTGTCTCACATATAATTTGTTAACAAATATATATTTTACCTTGCAGTAGAGCAAACATTATGATAAGAGATAAAAATATACCTAAGTCAATAGAATTTCAGTATTTATTATATACTTAGAAAGAAAAGACACATGATTAAAACTCATTTTAAATAATAGTTTCATATGGATAGTGTTAAATTGATCAATCGATTATTCGATGTTATTGAACAGGATATTATTCCTGACACTCGAGTGACAATTGCACGTGGTAGTTGTGTTTTTGGTGGAGCCATTCTTAACAAATCAGATCTTTCAACTGTTGTTGCTACTGGTAATGGTCAAGCAGAAAATCCAATTTGGCACGGTGAAATCAATGTTCTTAATACACTTTGGAAAACAGAGGATCGATCCAAAATACCGGAAGCAAAAAATTGCATATTTCTTAGTACTCATCAACCTTGTTCGATGTGTCTTTCAGCTATAACATGGGCTGGATATGATAATTTCTATTATCTCTTTACTTACGAAGAAACTCGTGATATTTTCAAGAAATCAGGTGATATTGATATTTTAAAAGAAGTTTTTGGAAATGGTGAAAATGATCGTCCATATTATAATCCTAAAAATGCATTCTGGACCAGTTATAGTATACGTGAAATGATCAATAGTCTTGATAAGTGTCATCCTGATCGACAAGTTCTACTCAATCGAATGAATGATATATTCAAAGTATATGTTGAACTATCGAACATTTATTATGCTAATATGAATAAACCAGTAACTAATTAGAGTGAGAGTGAGAGTGAGAGCGTTATCTTAGCATATCTGTACTCACGTTACCGATTTTGATTATGAATTAAACTTAAATTAGCTTCAAATTCATCTTGAGGGTAAAAGGGGTGTGGATGTGAGTATGGATTTCTTACACATAACCTCATCCACCCTCACCCTTCTTCTAAGATATTTCTATGTCGATAGAAAGCTATACTTGATGTTAGTTTCTTCAACAGCATAGTGATGGATAAATCATCGATGAGTAAGCGCTCGTCATGTTTGCTACGTATTAATAATCATTACACAGAACGAAAGGAATATTGAGCAAGAAATATTTTCTCCGTCTATATAAAAACGAAAGATGTAATTATTTGCATCAGTATATAAATCGAAAGAAATCAAACATAACATACGTAAAAAATGGCATCGTCATCGAATTCGAATACACGGCCTATTGTCGATTTGAACAAGATTTTAAAGTCAAATGATTCAACTGAAATCCAACGAATGCAGCAACAATTCGAATCCAATGGTTGGTGTTTTGTGACTTTACCAACAGAACTTATTCCAACATCAGCTTTGACTCATGAACTTCAGCAATTTTTTCAAGGTTGTGAATATAAGAAGAGATACTCTCAACGCACACCAATCTATGGCTATTCACAAGTCAATCACAAAGAAGGACTAAAACTGTTAACTGGCAGATACTATGAAAACTTTGTAAATAAGGGTTTAGTACCAAAGAATCTTATGCATCCATTGAACTATTTTTCTCAAGCATTTGATGCAGTGACAAAGCGTCTCGTCGAAGTTCTTGATGAACATTTTGTTTTCCAGTCAAAACCATCATTAGCATCACTTTTTAAAAAGGCAGACTTACCATTGAAAGATGAACATTTCGGAATGCTCGATATTGTTTCTTATTTCAACAATAAGAATGGTTTTGAACCACCAGAAAATGGACAATCAACTGATGAAGTCAACTGTGTTCCCCATTATGATCCTGGCTTATTTTCAATCAGTGTGTTATCAACACATGAAGGACTACAATTGAAAGATATGACAACAAATCAGTGGATAGATCCCATGTAGCCGTTTTTCTACAATAATGTAAATTAAAATGCATTATTGCACCATAGGAAAATAATGGTGCAATTACATGATAATGCAACACTTTTTCACGCATTTTCATTAATTAAAATACCGTTCATGAATTGTAATCTATTGATTATCTCAGTAT